AATGGCACAATAGCCATTGAGCTGAGTGGTCAAAAGTGGCCTCGGTAGCGTAATAGGGAACGCAACTGCCCGGTAAGCAGAAGATGCGGGTTCGAATCCCGTCCGTGGTCCGACTTTTGCCCATAACTCAGCATTCTTGTACATGTGATAACAATACACTGTGTGGCTAAAGTATCCTCCAACTTCTCTCTTGCCTGTAACCCTCGGCATCGTTGCTATTTATATTTGCTGTGCCTCTCGAGTTTTTAGGTGGAATCTTTATTTAATCTTTATTTAACTGCCTAATGAAGCTTTCGACAGGCGTCGCTCTTCTTCAGAGGCCCAACGTTGTTTCGAGTTAAAGGTTCACAGTTCGCGACCGCAAATTGCGGGAAACGGAACTCAAATAGGCACAAAAAAGTGCTAAGTATCTGATTAGCGGAGAAAAGCAGCAGAAAAAGCAGTCCGAAATGTTATAGAGAAAGATAACATAGTGGCTACCAGCTAGTAGCTAGCAGCCGGTGAGGGTCGGCATGGGCCTAAGGGGTGTCCATGGGCCTAATTAGTCAGCTCCTAGCTTAGTTCTTGTCGTTTTTCACATTTCGAAAGTAGCGCAGCCTCAAAAATCGCCTTCCGGACCGTCCGACACATTTGAGAGGTCATAGCCTTATTTTTTCGCGGAATGTGCCTTTAAGAGTCGAGGCAACTCCCCCCAATCAAGCGGCCGCCCAACCAAACTTCTGCCAGTTCCGATTATGTGTGCGGACTCAACAAAGAAAACCCATACAGCATTACGAGAACGTATTCCAGAAACTCCGCTGAATCCGTCATGACATGCGGATGTTTAATCAGCTAGCCAAATGAGATTACCACAGTACGGTTACTACAGTTTATACGATAAAGCCTGGAGGAGACGACGTAGCACCGCGCTACTTACAACTCACAAGTATCGCGTTGTAGGTTACGGTGCTACGTGCGTGTCCTTCTTCACCTTATGCGTATAAGGAGATACTGTAGTAAGTCTCACTTGCTACGGACTAACATCCGCATGTGACGGCGGATTCACGGTGGAGTTCTCGTGAGTGCACATCGTAATGTGTAGCGTTTCTTGCACTGCGAGTCCGAATACATCATCGGAACTCTAGGGTTGCGTTAGGGCGCATGGGGCGAGAGTGGTTCATACTCCTTAACTCGAAACACCGTTTAGGCCCTCGTTGGAGAGGATGACCGTGACGAAACGTTAGGCCGTTAAATAAAGATTCCACCTAAAAAACTCCAGAGGCACAGCAATATTAATGAGTTGAATAACCGTGTGTAAAAACTTACCAATCTCCTCAGCTAAATTCAAAGGGCGCTTCTCTCCAATGATCGCAGCTTCTTCATCTGAAAAAATTCCTCAAAAATATATTTCAGTATGTCGCGCATACACATCGTTCCAGCACAGAAAGGGTCCTACTATACAGAATCCGCTAAATGTGTGTTGTGTGTGCCTGTAAAACTAAGAAGTCTTTATGTGAAGAAACACACCTGGAAACAGCGTCTCGGACCAGTCGTATACTGAAAAACAGATATCAAAGAATATGAATGGAAATCAACGAAAATTGGTAGCATAACAGGGGAAAAAACCCACCATAAACATTTTGACCAATGGGGATTTTAGGTTTCTCGTTATCTGCAGGCACAATCTCTGAAAATTACGGGTACAAATTGCTAACAGTTTCCACCTCAGCATTGGGTGAGGAGGGTCCACACTCAGCTGTGAGCGCGGCAGCGAAAGACATTTGCAAAGAGTGATAAAAGGTTTATTCTTTGTGTTCTCCATGTTTTGTTAAGCACAGATTTTCCACGTCTCTGCCAGTACCGACAAAAGGCTACCCGCTGCCGAGCACATAACCTAACCAGCAGACTCTCCACTCCAGCGTGGCTACAGTCTTGTTCGCCGCGAAGGCTAGGGTGTTTCAGGGGTGGAGGAAGGAAGGCTAAATTGGGCGTGGTCCCAACCTGTCATCCACCAATTGTGCCCGCTCGCCAGCTTGCACACTTGGTGGAGAACGGGATTGCGTTGCGGCAAACCCAATCCCTTCCTAGAACGCCTGAGCATCCGCAGCGAGTAAGACTGTACTAGCTGCAAAACACAACAACACACCTTCGAGAACTTCATCATCACCTCCTTCATCACCTGTGCACCACGGTAAATCGATGGTTTCTACATCACCACTGAATATTTCATGGTAAAGTCGAATTCTAGTTGGCCGTACACAAGAAATGCTTCAAAATTAACTAAGAAAACTCAGTAGGAGACAAAGTTTGACACTAAGACAGTTGGCGGGTGGGGCGGCCAAGGGGGGCAAGAAGAAGGCGCCTTGCACCAGACCACCCGCCGTCCGCGTCATGTCGAGATATTGATATTCGCCCTATTCACAGTCTTGGACACAGAGCTCAATATCCACTGTGTTAAAAAGAGGGGGTTGTATCAGGCCACTGGAGAAAAGGAGACGGGCTTTGTCGCGAGAAAAAATTCTGCTTCTTGATTATCCCCGTTCCTCGGGCCGCTTAGGGTTTATTGCGCCCCACCATACCTATTGTTGTTGATCTGGGTAACAGGAAAGGCTACATCTGCCCCGCCCCTACTCTATCGATTAGATTCGTAATACTGCGCGAAGATTTCCTGGTATGCGTGAGCTGGATCTACGGAATAGGAGCAACATACGAAGGGGGGTGGTCGTGTCCACACAAAACTCCCACAAAGTGATGGTTGCCTTTCTTGAAAACTCGTCAGATGGGGCGTGCGCTTATCTTCGTTTGGCATTCCTCATCCCAAACTACTTCATTGCCCAAAATCTACGCTCAGATACCTCAGTCTGTGCTTTTCGTAAGCCGGGCTGGTGCATTGAGTCTTGCGCGCGGATCTTGATTGAGTGGTTGTGATTGTCGATTGTTCTCGCGAATCCATCTCGCTAACTCATGTTAGCCACTCAACATGAAAAACATTAAAAAATTGAACGATCAAATTATTGATTGATCTCTGTTAGTTGACCGGTATTATCATTTTCATTTCGGTTGACTGATCCAGAATTGGCCGACAACTTGGAATTTGGGCACTCTTCATCCTTTACCCCTTCTTCCGAGGTTTGGCCGGAACTTTGTATGAAAACCTGCCCTTTGGACAAGATCAGATTCTCAATACATTTATAAGCTTAACGGCACTGATTCGACCCCCTCAGAAAGATATCCTGTCGGTTCGATACGTGAAGGCTTAGTGCGCTGCGCCAGAGGACCCCCGGAGACAAATTCAAACCTCCAAAGTCGCATAAGGCTTGCCGCTAGGGGCAGTGAAACCTATTTATAAAACTTACATTTTCTGGGCACAAAAAGACCCGACGCTAGCGGAGAAGGTTTTCCGGCGCCCCAGGAATCTTCACGCCAGGTGCAACTTTGGCGTCGAACCGGAGCAAATTTTGGCTGACTACCGCCCTCGCGCCTTTCCCTCAAAACTCTATGATTACTTTCCTTAGACTGATGATCAGTAAGACTGGCCAGACTGCAAGGTTCAGCCACTTGCTCAACATGAACCGTTAGTGCTATACAAAGATTCGTGGCTGCGTGTGTTTCCGCATGTGCGCGGTGCAGATTCGCTGGTCGCTCATCGATTCACCGGTTAGAATGCTCTCGTTGTACACTATGTAAAAGTCTGTGGAGGTAAAAGACGCAGCTTCGTTTACATTCCAAAGTCTGCAAGTCTCACAAAGGTGTGACGTGAGTTCAATAAAATTTTTTAAGAGAGAATAGCAAGAGAGTAAAATGTCCCTTTCGAGCCGAGCACCGCTCAGGAAATGTTACTGAACTCCTTAGCATCCATATACGGGAGAGATTCAGAAAAAAAAAGATGACTCACATCGTTCAGGATCTATCTGGATACGCAGCCTTCGCATGCGCTCAATCAGCTGCCGCTCGTATACAGTCCAGCGCTCCTCATCTTTTACCTCAATGTCCTCCTCGAACAAGTCATCATCGGAACTCTCTTCTCCATCACGAATTCTCTCCAAACGATCTTCTCTTGCTCTAAAATTATGAAACTACTTTGATTCAAAACAATGGCAGCACGTCGTACGTTGGGGATCTCCTGAGGACAGGGTCGTATCCGGTGGTTGGAGAAAGGAGGACCGTATCTGCCCAGGAAAAATGTCCTTGTTATAAAGTTCTTCGAATTTTTTTCTGTTTCAAGGGCGCTATATACCCCCATCTTTTTTCCTCTCCTTTCCGGAAGACTGAACCTAGGGAAATGTGTTTTGCAAAATTCAATGTTGATGTATTTTGCAAGTTACATTGCAAAAAAATCCACAGTGGCAGGATTTACCCTTGGAGGCACTGTTCAGACTTCGCGAGGACGCGCTGTAACGTGATGTAACGCGCGCTCACGTGCTACTGCTGCGAACCCAATCTCCAATGCTATGGACGGTAACGCAGCCATAGAAGTGTCGATCGGCGCCGGCCGCTAGTTCTTCGGAAGAGTAAAGAAGAACGAGAGGGTACCAGACTGTGTGATTAGGCAACACGCCCCCTCCTATTCTTCCATACTCTCGAAGTAAGGGCAGCCTTTGCCTGGGCACATCATTGGTTGGGGATTTTAGTCGAGTCCCGTACGACCCCCCCACTTCTACCAATTCTCAGACGTTCCTCCAACTTCGTGCCACTTTTCAAAATCTCCCGCACTTCCCTACTTTTGCCAAGAATTTTGCTGTCGAGCGCAGGGGCACAGCATTCGATGGGGATTTT